CTATCTTCTAGAAGGTCTACAGCTAAGCTTCCAGAACTCACTAAGACTCCTACGCTATAGACCTACAGATCGAACCCCTGCTGTCTATGGACCTACGACAGGTCTACCAACTGCCTACGAATACACAGGTCACAGGTTCAATTCTTGGGGTCTACACAGATACTGTACATGGGTAGGGTGAGGTCTAGGGATCGAACCCTGGGTACTGCATCCGCTACTGCTAAAAGGTGAAAACCGTTTCACTTTTGAAAAAAAGGAAGAAGGAATCTATGCGATTTGGCAGCAAATGCAGAACCACACACAACATCGGCTTTCATCACGATAAAAATGAACACAAACACAACACAAAAATCGCACAACGTTATTTTCCATTACAGGTCAGAGTGACTAACAGCAGATTGCAGCGCAAACGGACTTCAATTTCCGGTTCAATCCGTGCTTGCACGAAGGAGGGCTTAGGCTCAGATGTGCGGATCCATTTGCTGCAGTGACAGTTAGTTCCCTGCAGAGATTCCTGACAATCAGGAGGCTGACAAAAGCCAAACCCCTGCAGCAGCTATCGGAGGGCGAAACCGGGGTTTCTGGAGTTATCCAAAGACGCAAAGAATTCCTTGTGTCTACCGTCTTCACCCGAATAGAACGGCGGCCGCCCGGTAATTGTAGCTGTATTTGGGGCAACTTTCAGTCCAAATACAGTGATACCGACTAGGTGTTCGATTTTGGCGAAGATGGTAGTCAGAAAACAGACACAGAAGCAGACACATCTGATTGGACGATCAATTGTGAATATGATACCAGCATTCCCTAACAGACGGTACAAATGGAGTCGTACCGCCTTCACCCGAATATAGAGCGTACGGTCATTACAGCTGTGTATACGGAGCAAGTTTCAGTCAAGATGCAGTGATAATGATTGTACGTTCTGTTCCGTTGATGACCGTAGTCAGGGAAGTTGTGCTGTTGTGTGTGCCTTCAGCCTTTCACTCCCTCAGTCAGTCGCTTATGGTACACCAGCAAGTCCGCCACAGTGATGATCGATCAATAAAGTGGGTTGATGTCCGAAATAGCTTAAGCTTAATTGGAGATTAACCGAGGTTAGTTGCAAATTAGTTTGCATACCTTGCCAGCGAACTTCCGTGCTTGTGACAAATTCCATTGTCAGAGTGCTTTTTCATCACCTGCAATCAACTGAGTTTTGTCCTACACATGAAAAGGCAGTGGTTCGTAACACATGAAATGGCTAACAATCTCAGTGTCCTGCAGTCTCTCTCCAGTTCTTCTCAGGAGTCTTCTCCCTCAATCCACCGCCTCACATCAATACTGGCTATAGCAGACTCTTCTCCCCAGTAAGGAGACTTCTTTCCAGCCTCTCTCTCCAGCCCAATCTCACCTAAACTCTCTCGTTGCGAGATCTCACAGAAATCCTGCACAACAAGGATCAAGTCTTGATTGCAGAATGACAGCGCCTTGTACTTTTGGAGAGAGTTGCCTTCTTCAATAGCAGCTATGGCCACCAGCCAGCAGGTAAGCTTGTTCTACTAACCCCTTACCCTCTTCTCTCTCCCAAGTGTTTCCAGTCCTCCTCCTTATGCCCCCTTCCCTCCTACCTCCACTACCACAGCTATGGTGTCCTTTAGTACAGCCTGATCCCTACCCAAGGGCTCTCACTCCCTTTCCCAGCAGCAGCAGCAGCAGGGTAGCATGGCGCACCGAGCACAAGACATAACACATTGCACCTGGACTGCCAGTGTGGATACATTCTTTCGCCTGGGGTCGAGGGCCTCGATGGCTGACTGTGTGGCTGCCCAACTGAGTAGCCCGTCGGCTCATCTCGAAACTTTGTCTCGACTGTCAGATGCTTGTGCGCTTCGTGGCCAGAATTGACCATTGAAGAATTATTTGGCTCTGGTTCCAACCGGGCCCGGCTGTTGCCATTCCCAGGCCCAAGGCACTCGCATCCGGGCCTGATTGGCACAGACAGAGTTCCTAGTTCCGCTTCCCAATCCAGCACCAGTTCTCAGTGCAGTACATTTTCCAGCTCTTCCCTCCCTAAGCCCTCGATGGGCTTAGACAAACCCTATGTATGACCTAGAGAGTGATGGAGGTAGGTGGTCTGTGTGTAGCGCGAGTTGTTGACGCACGGGTGATGTGGTAGTTACCGTGCGATACGCAAAACCTCTAACTCCATTTTCTGTTTTCGGTTCTTCGATCCTGTTGGGTGCAGGTCTTTTGACCGACCCTATTTTCCCACATTTGCCGTTCCCGGCAATTTGGCCCATTGCACATTTCTCAATATCTGCATGACAGTGCATGTCAATGGCTTCCCTTCTATCTTGAAGTCCATTTACTTTTTTCTTTTCCCCATTTTTTTTCCAAGGAGCCTGAAGGAGGGCAATTCCTCAATCCGCTTATGTCAGAATTTGCACAAGGGTACCAGCGGGCCTAGCTCAGTTGGGACTACACCCACGAACTGTTGAAATATGAATCAGACCCAAGGTCGAATCCAGATACCATATTACAATCAGATTACCAGTACACAATCATTCTGACTTAACTGGGGCCGGTCAGGTCAATGATGATATCTCAAGGCCGTCGCCCTTTTTTTTCTTTTTCTTTCTTTTTTAGAAGGGTGATTCTGATGCCGCGAGGAGTAAAAAAAAAAAGAGAGGGAAAAAAAAGTGGAGTATTTGCAATTTTGCTCAAGGGGTGTCCTTAGGGACATCCAATAAAATTGGGATGATACACAGACGATTAGCATGGCCCCTGCGCAAGTTGGACGGCAGTGGTCGGGGCCGTCACCATGCTGTGCCTCTAGTGCCCGCAGCATGTCTAGAGTGCATTTTCTGGCTGTGACAGACCTACCTCTGTTTTGTAGGGGTCTGCTTGTCATGAAACGGTTTTCACCTTTAAGCAGTAGCAGATGCAGTACCCAGGGTTCGATCCCTAGACCTCACCCTACCCATGTACAGTATCTGTGTAGACCCGAGAGTTGAACCTGCGACCTGTGTATTCTTAGACAGTTGGTAGGTCTGTTGTAGGTCCAGATGCAGCAGGGGTTCGATCTGTAGGTCTATAGAATAGAAGTCTTAGCAAGTTCCAGAAGTGGGCAAGTGGTCAAGTGGCGAGGCAAGTGGTGGACTAAACTGCAGTGCAATTGCAGTACGAGGACGGTAGGATAGCAGTGAGTCCACAGTCAGTCAGCGATAAGGTCCAGTCAGTCCCAGTCCGGTCCAGCAAGTACCACGGGGGACTGTGAGCACCATGGGACGATGGCAAAGGGCAGACCAACGAGTTTCCGAAGTATAAATCAAGAGGCAGCGCCCAGCCATTCATTCATTCCTGCGTGAGCCATGCGGAAGCGCTGTCACAGCGACTTGTGCAAGGAGGTCTGCAGTATGCCCGAAGGACGAAGTGGGCGAGAGTGAAGGAGCGTAGCATAGCGATAGGGTAGAGGCAGCCATAGCTGCCATAGCTGTAGTTTAGAGTGAAGTGTGTGTGTCTGTGAGAGTTTAGAGTGACGCGTGTGGGATATCCAGGGCGATCCGGTGTGTGTGAACAGTGAGTTGTTTGGGCGCTGAGTCGCCATAACCAGTTGAAAGTGAACTCGTATCTGGAAGCCATATCTCTGAGTTTTGTGTGGGCGCATGTTGCCAGTTGCTGCGCTGCTGTTTACATGCATGAAAAGTGTGAATGAGAACGAGTCTGATTGCAGTCTTACCTGTATTAAAAATTTAAGATGGACCATCAGCTGTGTTCTCGTCCTTTGTCTTCTGTATTCATCGCAATAGTCTTACTATTTTCTTTGTTTAACTCTTCGGGAAAAAAAATCAAAAAATATATTTACTAATTTAGTAATTTTACTTCTTTTTTATTTTATTTTAATTGGACCATTTCTCGATTTACGCGTGTCATCCTTGCTTGCGCAGGGGCCATGCTAATCTTCTCTGTATCGTTCCAATTTTAACGGATGTCCCGAAGGACTAATTTTACTTATTTTATTTCACGTGATTCCATAGCTTTTCTAACTTCTTATGGACCAGGAAATGAAGTACTAGATAGTAAATAGTAAATAGTACTTACTAAATAGTAAATACTATTAAAGTTGATCTCGCTATTGCTCATTTTCCTTGCACTATTCTGATTCTGATATATTTTGTTCGATTTGAACTCACTTCAGAGTGTGAACAACAACACGAGCATGCTTTTCAGTTTGTTTGTTTGTTTGTTTGTTTGTTTGTTTGTTTGTTTGTTTGTTTTATTTGGACCATTTCTCGATATGTGTGCTTCATCCTTGCGCAGGGGCCATGCTAATCTTGTCTCCATCATTCAAATTTCACCGGATGTCCTGAAGGACGCATGCTTTTCAATTTCACTTTCGGAGCTATGGAGTTTCTACACTGAGTCATGATGCTGTGCTGTTATGCTTTGGGGACCACCTCTCTGTAGTTTTCAATGTGTCCGTTCGCGTTCCCAGGGTTTTCTCCGATTCCGTATTCCATGTCACTATCCGAATACATTAGTCTTTTTCGTTAATATGAGTTTCACAAATGCTTTCTTGGGTATAATGACAACTCTCTGTCTGTTCTCAAACACAGCATGCATGTTGACATGATGTTGTGAAGCTGATCTGCATGTCTTCCTTAACCTTCGAACTGGGAAGGAGGAGGAGAGCGGACAGTGGTTTAACTTTACAGTGTACTCACCAATGGTCTGGCACTCCCTTCTTTGTTGCGGCTAAGTATCGCATAATAGAATGGCTGCAAGCAAAGCAAATGGAGCCGGCATAACAAAACAGGAGTCAGAAGCAATGGGCAGCAGCTCGGGGGTAGTAAGACAACTGGGACGAGGAGGCAAAAGCCGAGGAAGAGGAGGAGAGAAGAGAGAAGAATCACGAGGAAGAGGAGGACGAGAGAAGAATTGTGAGGAGGAGGAGGAGGAGGAGGGGGAAGAGGAGGAGAAACACGAGGAGAAGGAGGAAGACGACGACGACGACGACGAAGAGCCATGGGAAAATGTTCCCTCCCGGACGATCAGACAGATGATTCAAGAGGAATCCGAGCTTGGTTCAATGGTTTTAGCATTTTTTGGTTTTGGCACGAGATCAAGAGATCAAGTCCTGAGAATCCACATCTTGATAATAATAAAAAATCCAGAACTTACAGCACAAGGGCAGCAGCTTGTATAGTTTTCTGACCCGTGCTTCCGTTCCTAGACCACCACCTCTTTCCATGCTCGCATCAAAGAAGAAACTTATAACATTGTAGCAGCTCATGGCTACTTTGGTCGCTTAATCTTTCAATATGCTAGTTTTAATAATTATCGTTCTCTTCATTTCTTCCTAGCTGCTTGGCCAGTAGTAGGTATTTGGTTTACTGCTTTAGGAATCAGTACCATGCATGAGTCACAAGGGCCAAGGCATACCCACCTTCACAAAAACAGCAACGAGGAGGAGAAACCCCACGCCGCCCGATTCCACTTGCACTGTAACAAATGCACAAGTCTTTGTCGCCACACCAAGAAAGAAAAATGCCCCAAAGGTTGGGTCCCCGCTTAGCAATACCATGTGCTAGAATCTGGTCAAAATTCAGCCCAGATGCAGCCTAGCATAGCACACATTACATCTCCTGGTTGTCTGATCGTCAAGCAAGGTGGTCAGGGGTGCGCATGCAGGAAAGTCGGCTGGGGCTAGCTGAAGAGAAATAGATGGGAGAAGCAAGGCATAACTTAGGAAGAAGGAAAGCAGAAGGGGCTGGGCAGGAGAGGTAGAAACGTGGAGACAGTGGGAGAAGAACTAAGGTAGGGGAGAAATGACGAGAGGACGTAAGGTAGGGAGAAATGACAAGACATATGTGGGGGATAGAGAAGCTGGGGGCAGAGAAGCAACGGGACACAGCAGAAAAGGGGGAGAAGCAAAGGGAGAGGTGAGGTGGAACGAGTGGAGGGGGACAATCAAGGGCAGAGAAGTGGAGCTAGAGAAATGGGGAAGAGAAGCAGAGACGAAAAGCAAGGGGAGACAATCGAGGAGACAAGATGGGTGACAAGGAAGCGACCGCAGACAAGAAGACGGGACCGAAGGAGAGGGGAAAAGGGAGGAGGCAAAGAAAGCGAGATGAAAGGAGTACAGAGAGAAATAGGAGACCAGAAGAGGAAGAGAGAGAGAGAGAGAGAGAGAGAGAGAGAGAGAGAGAGAGAGAGAGAGAGAGAGAGAGAGAGAGAGAGAGAGAGAGNAGAGAGAGAGAGAGAGAGAGAGAGAGAGAGAGAGAGAGAGAGAGAGAGAGAGAGAGGGAGGGTGAATAAGAAATGAGAACGGAAAATAGTTACGGAGGCAATTGTAGACATTAAGACTGTCATTCTCTTTCACCCCCCCCACCTCTCAGCCAAGATGAATCCATCATCATCCATCCAAGGAACCTGTGCGAGAGGGTTCATCACTGCAAAAAGGCAAAGACACGCGGACATTTTGTCAGATAAGTGGAAGACTAGAAAATGTCCATGCGCCGTGCTTCTAAAGAGCGCAAGCATTGCCACACTAGGACTTTCTGGACTGAATCTGGAAGTAATTTAGAGGAAGATACATTCAGGGAATTCCTAGTGCAAGTATGTCCTAAGGTTACATACGCGTACCCTTCACCCACACTGGACAGCTAAAAAAATGAAACATGAATCAGCTCAGATGCTCCTTTGGTTTTTTATTTCCTTTTCTTTTTGTATGGAACAGTGAAAAGGAATGCAAGCATGCGATAGTCATGGCCGCTCTCCATTTCCATTTAATAATTAAAAAAAAAAAAAAAACAGTTTAAAACACCCCTTACGGCCCTTTTTACGGTTCTCGGCGCACCATACCCATTCTGGGGAGAGTTTGTCCGGTTTTTCCTTTTATGATTCTGATCATCTGACTGTATCTGGATTCGAACTTGGGTCTGATTCATAATTCAAGACTTCAGGGGTGTACCAACTGAGCTAGGCCAGTTGGTGCCAGTTTTTCCCTCCTGAAACAAGAATCATAAGAAAGGTTCCGCCATTCCCAATATGTGCCCGCCTTAGATAGGCGCTGAAATTTTCAGACAATTTGTCATGCCATTTACACCCCCCCCCCCCCCCCCCTCAAAAAAAAAAAAAGGGTCGTTTTAACCAAACTTGCCACCAATTCATAGAGTGGACACCATATTACCTAACAGAGACAGACGGAAAGGAAAAAACGAAAAAACAAAACAAACATAAGACTGCAAAGCAAAAGTGCACCGTCATGCAAATTTCACCACAATTCCAATTTCAGCTGTGTTAAACTCCAGACCGTCCGGTGGCCTGGCCTTCGTCTGGCAGGGGTCCCGGGCGGCCCGGCCGGTTGGGTCCCTCGGTTTGGGGCCGTGCGAGGCCAGCGCAATTTCGCGCAGGGGGGGGGGGGAGGCCTTTTTTGGTTACTGGTCGCCTCCCTAGCCTCCGGCGACACCAGGTTTTTTTTTTTTTTTTGAATCTAAGACAATGTACAAGTAGTTTGAGGGGGGGTAGTGAGGTTTTCGGCCGAGATTAGCCGCCAAGAAATCGTTTCCCCCTCTCGCGGGCTACGATGCCGCGTTCGAATTCGAACACGGTAGTCCCTGTTGCGAAGCCCGTCGTCGGTGCCGTCGCGAAGCCGCCCATCGTCGCTAGTAGCCCGCCCGTCGTCGCTGCGGTCGTGAAGCCCGCCCGTCGTCGCTGCGGTCGTGAAGCCCGCCCGTCTTCGTCGAGCTGCCCATCGTTTGTCTCCATCGAATTGCCTCGTCGAGAAGCCCTCCTCGTCGTCGCTGCCCATGAAGCTGCTGTTGCCGTCGTCGTGAAGCCTCCTCCACCTCTTTCCTTCCTCTTCTTCTTCTTCCTCTCCTCCTCCTCCTCCTCCTCCTCCTCATCATCCTCCTCCTTTCCTATTCTTCTTCTCCTCTCCTCCTCCTCCTCCTCCTCCTCCTCCTTTCCTCCTCTCCTCCTCCTCCTCC